TTTCTTGCCTAATTAAGTGGTTATAGAGCAACCCATGAACTTTTACCTTTCTGTACTCAGAGCATTCTGTCTCCACACACTGCTAAGGGAGCACTCTGTGAGAGCAGAGTATGGACCTCTCACATCTCTGTACTGTCCTCTAAGAGAAGAATACTGGAATTACTTCCTTTGGGGAATGTCTTGCTGTTCCTCTAAGCTGTCGCATTTCAAGGAATGTGGCAGTCTGCATTTGTACCGTGCTTCTCTTTGCAGTCAGGGTGATGTTGCTCATTATGGGGCTGCCTTTCCATGGAGCCTGGTGGGGGCATTGACAAGATTTGAAGAAACACTGCCTGAAGTGCAAACTTAGAGTGTAAGGAGGAGCAGCAGAATCCATCACTTGCTGTATTCACCACTCCTGAGCCTTTCAAGGAAATGTTGGCAAGGCCTGAGACCTGCTTGAGTTGCCATGCAGTAGAGTCAAGGCTGTTTTTATCCCAACAGCTGAGAGAACAATCATTGCCTGTGCTGTGGGGCACAACCAGCACAGGCATAGTGCGTCCCTATATGGAAGGGCTTTTTAGGGATTTCAACCATCTGAATCTGGAGCACATCAGAGGATGGACATCTGGGCTGATTCAGTGCAAGCTAGTGAAGCCTCAACTTTGTAAAGACTGGAGCCCAACTTCAGGATCTCACCTGCTCTTCTTTACTGCATTTGTGTTGATCTTAACATAAATCTAATCCATGCTTTTTGCTGCAAAGTCTTTTGCATTTACACAAGGACATTTCAAATCCCTCGGCAGCATTGTCTACTGTTCGTGGTCTTGAAAGACTGGTTCTCAAGGCAGGATTTACTTAGCACACAGAGGTGGTTGTTCTGATTGATAATGTCCTGCAGATTGAAAAGGCACAAGGTCAGTTGCCCATCACTGGACAGGAGGGCCTCTCTGGGACAGAGTCTCCATGCAAAGGGGCAGTGGCCAGACTTCAACGGGTGCAAGATGAGAATTTCCCAAAAAAAGGATGGTTTTGGCACCACCCTTGGAAGCACAGCCTTCCCAGAAGCAGGGGATCTTACGGAAACAGACGGGAGAAGTCTAGGGCAGAGTTTGCAGTGAGCCCAGCAGAATCCACGCAATTTCCTCTGATATGGTATTTATAGCGGGAGGCAGCGGCCCGGAACCTTATCCACGGAACAAGCGGGCCAGGCGCTGGGGTGAGCGAGTCTCGGGGATGCGAGGGGGCGTTTTCCAGCTGGATGCAGCCCCTGCAGGCTGCCGGCGGCGGGCGCGGCTCTGGCGGGCGGCCGGAGGTGCCCCAGAGCCCGGGCACG